GGTTTCAAAGAAAATAGAACTATTTACATGAAGTTCTAATGTAAAAGATTTGTTTTAAGTGTAGAATTATCCCTATCCTTTTTATTTATTTACTTATTTTATTTTATTATTATTATTATTATTATTATTATTATTATTTTTGGTACCAGGGATTGAACTCGGAACCTTGCGCTTGAGAGGCAGGTGGTAGCACCACTGAGCTAAATTCCCAGCTAGGATTCTCCTTTTAAAACAGTGTGGCATGTGTTTCCTGCATGGAATCTGAGGGATGTGGCTCCCCACTCAGACCACAAAGAAGAAACTTCAGATTTAGTGAATTTGAACTGTGCTTTTCTCATATGCGCTGTCTTGACATGTCTAATTTTATTCTTGAAACAGTTGACTACTGTGGCCAATACTATTATTGTCCTTATTTACAGAGAAGAAACTGAAGCTTAGAAATGGAAAAAAGGAAAATAACCTTCACCAGGGTCACAGAGCTTGCACATATCAGGACTGTGATTCTTACTCAGGTAATCCAATTCCAAAGTGTTGGTTCCTCACCACTGGCACAAAAACCCAATGACAGGGTAGGGAGTGTTTGCTATCTGTACATCTCAAAATATTGCAATCTTCAAACTATTGATGCTGAAATCCCTAACAGAACAGGGGTTGATCACTGCTGGTCCACCGTTAGAAATAAATTCAAAGAAATCTTGAGAATGTCCCATACTTATTGGTTCCACTTATATACAGTACAAAGTTGACCTTACAAGTCCATTCCATTTTGACAATGGAGGAAAAGATTTATGGGAGATATTTCTTTGTTTCTTCTGTAGTTAGAAGATTTGCTCTTTATGTATATAGGCTTTGAAGTAAGAATGAATAAGAAAAATCACAGAATTTGAAAAGAGAAAGATCTGCCATAAAATGAATAAAACAACAGATCATATGGTTGCTTTGATTTTTGAGAAAGTGTTCAAAAATAGATGTTTGGCCAATGGTAGCTGTGTTATTATCACCACTACCACTGTCAGCACCATGAACACCAATGTAATCAACATTTGAATGCATTCTCAAGAGTCAACCATATTCTTCCTTCATTTCCAAACAATCACACATCTAAGATAGGCTGAGTATGTTGCTAAGATTTTATGTATTCCACTCTTTAATGTTTGCAATATCCACTAGAGGTAAATATTCTTTCTTCCCCTCTAGAGATGTGTAAACAAAAGACCAAAGAGTTCAGGTAATTAGCCCAAAGTCTCACAGATACAAGAAGCAAAGCCAGAATTTGACCTTATTCTCTCTGACACCAAAACTCTCATTTTTTCTATACTCTCTCTAACTTTGTGATGGTATAACTGTATTGTATAAAGGGAAAATACCTGGAACTGTTAGTTCACCATGGAACATAGTCAGTACCCAGGCAGAGAGGAAATGTGAGTCTCAGTACCAATTCTGTCACAAGTGTGAACTAGTTTGCTCATCTCCACATGACAGAAACAGATCATAGACCAAGATTCTTCCTTGGCCATTATACACAGTGCTACTGTACCAGGAAAAGTATCTCCTTGTCTGGAAAAACAAGAACAAAAAACCCCTCCCAAGATCCTAATTCTCCAGTCCTAAAGAGACCAATTGGCCATCAACCAGGCTCATACAGCACTGACAAGAGGCAGATCTTGCCCAGTTTTCCCTTCTGTAAAGTTCTCTGCACTGCCTAATGCCATCCCTGATGCAACAGCAGTGCATAGTGACACTTTCTGTGACAACACATGAATCTAACAGCTGACCTTCTTCTTTAACAATGGCACTGCAGAGCTTGGCATGGGCTGCTTCTGAGAACATGGCCCAAAGACATAGAGGGAAAAGTGAGAGAAAGTGGGAAGAGCTCTCTCCTCTCTGCATAAACATACTTGATGATTCATAGAAAGCTCACAGGCTGCACATTCAGCTGTGGTTCATTTTTTTGGTACCAGGGATCGAACTCAGGACATTGTGCTTCCAAGGCAGGTGTGGTGCCACTGAGCTAAATACCTGGCCCTCAGCTGTGGTTCTATTGGAAAATTAGGAATGATCAGGAAATGATTCCCAAGATGAGATTTTGACAAGTGTAGCCCTCAACGATGCAGGACTGTTTGTATGAGTGTACAGGTTTCAGTTTATTCTGTATTCCTAGGCGTGCTTAAGGGGCAAAATTGGCACCTGAAGAAATGGGCACCAAAAAAATATGACATATTCAACTGTGGTTTCTCTGAAACTTGCACAATACCCAGATGATGGTGGTTGCACAATAAATTTTTGTTGAATGAAAAACAAACAGCAGACAAACAAGTTTACTGACACAACAGATCAGTCCAGGGTCTCTTGCTTAATGACTTCTCTTCAACATACCTACATAGCTCATATTACAAAATATGTTAAAATTTAAAAGCATGTGCTTTCTCCCTTTCCCTCTCCCATCCATCCAACAATCCAAACTTCCATCCAAATATTTATTGAATGCCTTCTTTATTTATATAAAAGAAAAAAGAGACTTTGTAAATGTTATGATTAAGAGTATGTTATCCTATAATTTATCAGGGCACAGCTGCTTTGAAAATTTTACAGGGTTATATAGAAGAAAAACATCCCACATTCTAGCCTTCGTGTTATAATTATCTTCCACTTTATAGCTACATAAAGTGCTTTATAACTTGAAAGCATCCTCAAACACTATACTTTTTATTTAATCTTTAGAAAAATTCTGTTACATGTATTTTATTTCCACT